CTAATGAAGCTGGGTATTACCCTCTCCAAGTACGTGTCCATCTTAGGTTTCACAGCTTGTGTTCAAAAATACTGCAGTTAAGTGATCAGGATTTCCAGAGCTGGCTAATTTAAAGCTACTTCAGGTATGTCTCAGCTCTGGTCACCATTATAAGAGCTGCAGTGGACACATAACTAAGGGAAGACAAAACAGATTTGTTTTCTGAGTAAAATAAACTACATTATCATTTTAGACTCATCTCTTGGATCAAGATAACAACCATTACTTCTGCATTTCACTGCTGTGGAGATGAATTGGATGCAGTGGATAATGAAAGAGAACTATTAACATGGAACAACATAGTCAAAATCATGCCCTTTTTCAGGTGGAGACAAATAAAAACCCCACCACATTGGGCCGTACATTTATATAATTTAATATGATTTAAAGTCAAGGTGGTAGATGAACAACGCCTGAAATTTGCTTAGTTTTAATGTGATCAGATTCAGACCTACCTGATCAATGAAATTAAGTGGTTTTATGTATACATGTTGTGGTAGCTTTAATGGGAGTGTTTATTAAATATAAAATTACATAATAAATACATATATTTGTTCCCTACAACATCACACGTATATTTGTAGCATAATCTGCTTTCTATCCTATGGTGGTGCTAAATAGAAAAAAAAATGCATTTGACTTCAATTCTGAACATGCCTATATTTTGCAAGAGCAATTCTTAGAAAATTGCAAGAGGTTATGTCTAAGGTCATACGGACTTACAACAGTGGATTTCTTTATGGTATGAAATAGGGATCTTAGAATTGCAAGTAATAAATATGATTTTGATAAGCAGTTGCACACAGGAAAATGAGAAATTTCTGAAAAGTTTTGTGTGAAGCACCTTCCTTTTCCTGTCCTGTATTACTCTATACTTATAAATAATAAAAAGGGAGATTGATAACAGTAGCTTTATGTAAGCAAGCTTAGAAATCACGCTCAGATAAGTGCTTTTGACCTAAATCTTGTAGCGCCTCGATCTGACATATAACCCCACAACTGTGAAATTCTGTATGAGATTTAGCAGTTTGAAGCTGCCAACTGACCCAGTCATAAAGCAGCCAGAGATAAGGATTTAAGGTACGATATGATACAATTAGACATTCACCTCCTATTTATTTCAGTCCATTTTAGTATTTAACCTACTTAAAAGTTGCAAGCTTTTTATTAAAATGTATATGCTAGTGTGCTATATAGTTATAAGCATTTAACAACAAGAAAAGACTCTTATAAATTAGATTTCTATGAATGAAAAGGGTAAATAGGAGATTCTTCTGCAAAACTCTTCTAGATGCGCAGAGATAAAGGATGGTTCTACCACACAAAATAATCAGATACAAAAATAGCTGTTCAGAAACAGCACACCTAAGGAGTACTTTAATCAAACATTTAGGTTACCTGCCAAAAGGACCATGATCTCTTCAAAATGCAATGCGGATTAAAGTGTTATCTAACACAAGCAGAAAACTAACCTTGGAGTGGAAGTTCGAAATGTGTTCATCATAATTTTCATGTCTTTGGATAGAGAAACCAGCTTTTTCAGCTAGATTGCAAAACTGGTTTAAAGTATTCCCTCGGAGTGGAGCAAATACCATTGCTTTTCCCTGGAATGTTAAAAAGATTTTATACATTTTTAAAACTGGAAGGGAACCAGATATAACATATGCCTGACCAAGCTTTTAATATACCCAAGCTGGAAAATTCAATTGTTCTCTTGGTAAAATACTAAAAATAGGGTAATACAAATAATTGCTCAAAATATGCAAATTTCTGTGATTAAACAAACACAAAACAGAAAGTAATAAATAAATATTTTCTTTAGAAAACTGCCAACTGCCATACATCTGCTCCTTTTCATATACTAATGGCAGCTTTGAATTACCAAAATAAAACACAGAGAAAGCATACCAAACATACATTCAGTGTAAAATCCATTTGTTAGTTCATGACCATGCAAAGATTGAAAAGAACTATTTTCCTTTCTCACACACGGAAGAATAACTCCCATTTGCTGCCAGTGGAATTACAGCAGTGTAAAACAAGGTAAAAAAGGAAGCAAACCAGACTCAATCATTAATTTTTTGAGGATATTTTAAACTACCTGAGCAGTGCAACCAAATTTGACCTTAAATTGGTAAATTGCATTTAAAGGAGGTCTTAATGATCTTGCATAGTAATTCTGGATCTTTCAAGATGAACAGGCCATTTTTGATGCCCAGGCAACACATAATGGTCCATTAGCTAATTTTTTGTTCATCCTCCTGTATTTAAGAAAGCAAAAATTATGGTACCTTTAACTGATAGATTTTAGACACTGTGTGCAAAGTACTAGCCCAAAACTTAACCTACTTGATATGGCATCTCTTGAAACCTTATTTGCAAAATTAATTCTAATTGGCTGAATACCGTGTTCTGTCACATGGAATGAAAACTGATTGAAGAGCTGTAAACAAAGGTTAATGCCAGCCAACAGCATATTACACTAAAGGGAGCCACAAAGTTTACTGTGAGTTCTTACATTTAACTTCTATACTAATGTGAGCTAAGACTCAATTTGGGAGGTGCTGTAATCAACCAAAGTGACCAAAAATATATTTTTAGGCATCTGAAGAAATTATAAAATGATCACATGCTCTCAAGGAATATTTGGCTTGAGAAAATGCAGTCTTGTATACCACATCAAAAAAACTGATCTGAAGAGAGAATTTCAAATGGGAACTCTGGAAAGTTATAATGCAGACTCGCTTAGTGAGGAAGACAGGGAAAATATCTGTGTGTTACAGCTCATACACACATAGGCTGAGACAACGTGCAGTGAGGCAGCAATAAAAACGATATCAGTATCTATGATACTACTGTGTACTTAAAGACTGCAACCATTAACACCACAGCACTGTATTTATTATCACAATACCCCTGTGAGATAGGGAAATACTGTTATCCTCTTCTTTCTCATGGGAAATTTAAGCACAAAGGAGACTCGACAATATCTGAAGCAACTCACATCTGTTCATTGTGTAGCTGTAACTTTAATTCTGTGGCTAAGTAATGAGTTGCAAAGGGGTGTAACTCCCACCAAAGGCACTGGAACTGCTTATGTAAATGTTAGGTCTGAATATAGGCTCTGCTCAGGATGAAAAACATTAAACACAGGAAATTCACAGTCAGTTCCCTCACATCCTTGGCATGCTTTAAAGTGATCAGAAGTGGGCAGCAAAGAGAGCCTTCAGCTGAGGATTTTCCTCCTGTTGCCATCTCATGCTCCCTAGAATATTCCTCTGCAGAGACCCTTCCTGAGACAAGAAGGATGAGACTCCTCTCGAGTCCTGCATCTTCCTGGGCAGCTTCACAGAGAGGTGACTGTAACAGGAAACATGTTCCCCACCCAGGGCTTACTGACCACAAGGTTCACGTGGGGACTTCAGGAGTGGCTAAACCTCATGAATGGAGGCTGCACACCCTACATGGGCCACTGACCCAGCAGCTTCAGTGAGGGAGCAAGCTCATATGACAGCACTCCTTCCCATATTTCCATTTGGAGTCAGCAGTCCATGCGGTCATTCCTTCTCACACTTTCTGTAGACTACTTCAAATTCAATTTGAAAGAGAAATACAGTAAAATAGAGTGAAACGTGGTATGAAATATCTCTTAAAACCAGACTGAAAATCTTGAAATATACTTTTATGGCTACCACTACACAGTAACTTTTGGCCAGCTCCTTAGTTGGTGTAAAAACCTACGGATCTATTGAATTTAGTGTGTATCAAAAACACCTTAGGATCCTGCCCTCAAGGATAAAACCCAAGAAACCATGATTAAGTCTAATACTCCAATAACGTCCTCAAAAGTGGCAAGTACTGTGGAGGTATGGTGGTCTATTCTAGTCCATCATAACCTGGGTTTAAAGCACTTTCTTGTCAACAACCTCATCTCTGTGACTCTGCTACATGTTCTGGGGGTGCATTCACATTTCTAATTTTAAAATGTTTTTCATTTCTTGGTTGCTGTACAATAAAAAAATTAGACCAGTGACCTGGATCTATACTGGATGGAACATGCAAAGGTTGTTTAATTCTAACTCAAAAGTGCCTTCCAGTTTAGAATGATGGTTAAAATTCAAAATGGCCTTTCCTCAGCTGGCAAAATAATTCCAGTAAACTCACAAACAAGAGGAAAATGTCAGTTACAATAGTCTGAAGTGTCACTAAAATAGTGCAGTAAGATAATGGGACAGAAGTTCACATTTTAGACATGACTATGAGTAAGTTTACTCATTAATCATTATTAAATGCGATCATATTTGCTGGTACTAGTCACAGCTCAATGGCATCCCATTGACTACATCAGGATTTTTGGTGGATAGGTCACAGAAGAACCAATGCCTTCATAAAAGACATTCTTCATTAGGGTTAATTAGGGAAATACGCAAACAAGTAATGGTTTATTCTGAGACTGAAATTCAAAGTAGATTTTAAGGATAGGAACAAATAAAACTAAATGTTCACAAATCAAGTAGCTTGCTTATAAGAGGAATAAAATATAGCAATTCCAGATGCATTTGTTTGATGTAAAATTTTAGTGTCGAATTCTCCACTTTTCCTTTTGGTTTTGCTGGCAATTATGTTCCCTGAATTCTTCTATCCTATTTGTATCCTAGTTACACTTGAAAGGTGTCTTACATCTAGGCTTGTCTTCAATTTAAGATTGTTCCTCTATCAATTTGGCAAAGTATTACCAACAAGGAAATGTAGCATCCAAATTTTAGACAAAATAGTTAATGTAGAAGAGTGAACTAAATCAAAGTAGTTTATGCCTTAGCATAGGCATAAACTATGCCCACAAACTACTATTAATTAATTCAACTAGCAAATGAATTCGCTATTAATTTATATTGCCTTTAAAGGCCAAAGTATAGTGTCAGATATTAAAGTTTCCTCTGATGTTATCCTTAGGTTTATACAGGCTAACAAGAACAGCAAAAATAGTAACTGTTTTGTGCATGTGATTGCATCTTGTCTTGGGGTCTCAAACGAGTATACATTTTTATTTGAGTCATTCAAACCATTAAAGCATATGCTTGAAGCCATCTCTGTTCAACTTGTCCTTTTTGGACAAAAGAGATCAGCTAAGGTGTCTGTACCTCCAGCTTCCACGCCACACAATAGTTTGCTTTCCTCTCAGTTACAAATTACAATGATTTGCAAGGCCATGCCATAACTCAATATCCATCTATATAACCATCCATAAAGAAGATTAGGCAAATGAGTTAAAAAATGCAGTCTGGTTAGTGGTTCAAAATTCGACAACAGCAACTCCTGCAAGGAGCAAGAATTTCTTAAGTTAGCTTAGCTGGTAAGAAACAGGAACCATGGCCTACAATGCATAGCAAATATGTACAGGCTATGTTTTTAATCACAATGTGCAGAAGCAAGCCAGACAAGGAAGACAAGCTACAAAAAACCATTTCCCTTTACTCCTTCTGCATTCACAAAGGACGGTAGTTCATCTGCTCTGAAAAACAAAGACATGTTCTGCATTTAAGTTAGCTGACTGGAGTTAAAAAGCAACTAAGCTAGGCCAGTTTTGGTTTAAAGTCAGTTTAACAATTCCTAAATTTTCTATAGATAGAAACTTGAAACACTACTTGAAATTCAGGGTGCCTTATTGACACTGTTTTAAAAATAAAATTCTCTGATTGGGCTAATCAGCCCAGGGAGAGAATATCTGTGTGTGTTCATACACAAATGCACGTGTGTACTCATGCTTATGGGATTGTAGACCACCAGACCATGATTAGCTATGAGCAGGAGACAAAGCAACTAATAGCTATTCCTCCATTCCATCTAGAGGCTGTAGCGACATCAGTTACCAGATCGCCTCTATACACTTCTCTTCTGGCCTGTAATATCCCTCTCCCCCACTGTCCTTTCATGGACCCAGAAGAGTGGGCTATGGGGCTACCTGAAGAACCAGGTGCAGACATTGATCTCAGCCAAAAAAACCCCAAAAAATGTTAGCATTTTTTTAAACTAGGATCAGCTTTGTTTTCCAGATCACCTCTAGTCTCCAAAATTATTGCACCCTGACAACTGATGGAACATCCTGAAAGTCACAATGCAACACTTAAGGCAGAAGCTGCTTAACCTCCCCTTGCTGCCATTGACAGAAATATCTGGGTAACCTTTTCCTCAGGGTGGCTACATTTCTCCTGTCTTACTGGCAGCCTTGCTCCACAGCTCATTAAAATAATTCAGTCTTAAGTAACTTGCCTTAGGTCACTCAGGAAAGTCTATGATAGAACTAAGAATAGAAACCTGATCACTCTTAGCAAAGAATGGGATTACTTAAATGACTAAAATGACTCGGTTTCTTAAGCCTTTGCACGTTTGGGTCTATTATTCCTCTTACAGAGAAACATCTCTTGTAAAAAAAGTGCAATACAGTTTCTAAATTAAGTTTGGAGAATGCATTGGTGACATGAAATACTTTTGTTTTGAAATTGAGTTCACCTTACTGAAAGATTATGTTAAGCATTAAGGGAAAATTTCCAGTTTCAAATTCCTATTTACAGCAATTACATCACATGTTTTCTCATATTCAGGCTTTTATATATTCTTTTTTGTTTTGTTGGGTATAAATATATGATCATAACTTCCTTCCTTCCTTCCTTCCTTCCTTCCTTCCTTCCTTCCTTCCTTCCTTCCTTCCTGCCTTCCTTCCTGCCTGCCTTTTCCTCCCTTCCTCCCTTCCTCCCTTCCTCCCTTCCTCCCTTCCTCCCTTCCTCCCTTCCTCCCTTCCTCCCTTCCTCCCTTCCTCCCTTCCTCCCTTCCTCCCTTCCTCCCTTCCTCCCTTCCTCCCTTCCTCCCTTCCTCCCTTCCTCCCTTCCTCCCTTCCTCCCTTCCTCCCTTCCTCCCTTCCTCCCTTCCTCCCTTCCTCCCTTCCTCCCTTCCTCCCTTCCTCCCTTCCTCCCTTCCTCCCTTCCTCCCTTCCTCCCTTCCTCCCTTCCTTTCTCCCTCCCTCCCTTCCTCCTTCCCTTCCTCCCTCCCTTCCTCCCTTCCTCTCTTCCTCTCTTTCTTTCTCTCTTTCTCTCTCTCTTTCTCTCTCTCTCTCTTTCTCTGTCTCTTTCTTTCTTTCCCTCTTTCTCTCTCTCTCTCTTTCTTTCTTTCTTTCTCTCTTTCTCTCTTTCTATCTTTCTGTTGGTGTTTCTAATTTCACAGCCTAGTAGACTGAGATCAGTAAAATTTCCTCAGTGACTCTCATGTAGAACATTAAGTATTTTATGAAGAGCTTGATTTTGATATGTTCTAAGGTATAAAACATGTAAACATGAGGCTTACTTAATGAAAAAAAAAATAGGCTGCAATATATGCATGAGGAGTTTTTTCATTTTTATATAAACAGAAATGAAAAGAAAAATATTCTTAATAAATACATACACAATGACACAGGTTACAATTGAAGGGATTACAAATGACAGAAGCCAACATAAAAACTTTCAATATCATACTTTTACTTTAATATGAAGACATTACTATCAAAGGAAAATACTTGAGAAACACTTTGATAAAAATAATCTCACGCTATCTTTGAAGCGGTTTCATTTATTTTACTACCCACTGTGTTCCTTATCAGAAGGCCAAGTATAAGAAGTTTCCTAGTTTATGATTAGGAAAGAATCTGATAGATTAGAAGACTCAATTGAAGTTGGACATAATAAGTATTAAAGTATTACATGACATTAATCCTGCCATTCCATTACTCTCTCAATCATTGTGCACAGACTAATTATTCTGAAGCCAGTGTTCAGGAGAAAATAGAAACATACTTACACTGGGTTGGAGTAATCTCTTTATTGCATCAACAAGGCTAGCTCTGTACTGGTCCAGAAACAGGCTGACATTGAGAAGAGAACAGAATCCAGATTAAAATGGGTTTTCAATTCTAATGATACTAATGCAGATAAGTACAAGGCTAATTACACGTGTTTACACAATGCTGTAAAAGAGGAACCTTGATCTACATTTCTGTCAGTTCAGGTACTTCTAAATATTAAAAAATAGATAAAATCATATATAATCTAAACCAAAGCTAAAATATCAGCTTGAAACAGACATTTAGGTAGCTGAAACTCAAAGATCACATATGCTAACTATCACAATACTGCCATATCAGAAATCAGGATCAATATACAGAGCTAACATTTCATATATATATATTTTTATGCAAGGGGAGGGTGCAGTTTTTTTAAAGTATTCTCTACTGTATTTCAAGTGTTACTATTAAGGGCTTTCTTTTTTTTTCCTTTTACCTTCTCAGTTCTGGCACTAATTAATTATTATCTATTATGTATATTTGTTCTATTTATATATCTACCTGTATCCCTATGAAGATTTAGAAGTGCCTACCCCCTCTCTCCCACAAACACTGTTCAGATACAGTGACCCAGATCATTCAGAGCCATCCTCCCTCAAGAGTGAAATCCTTCATCTCCAACATGGGTCCCGCAAGGATAGCAGCAGAGTCAATTTTCCCATGCAATGTTGCCAACATGCTCAGGCCTATTTTGGTGTGATTACCTCATGATTTGAGGGGATAATTCATTCTTCATGCCCCTCAGTACCTTAATGTATATACTAATAGTGGCAACCGGGGTGCCAATCACTCTTGACTAGATATTTGTGGACATGTAGTTACTGCGAATGAGAGCGCATTTGCAATGGTTAGGGAACAACTACTGGAGAACAACTGGTGCCTCTCAGTCCTTACTGCTGTGGGCTGCACTTACAGTGGCAGCTCAGATAAGAAAGTCTATCAAGCAGGCCACAAATTACATACAAATTATTTTTCATGCTTTCTCTGCAACGAAACTGCTTCCCAGCCCGTGTCAAGCTCAAGTTCCACACTACACAGCATTTTGTCCATTCTTTATGGTTGCTTTCTTTACTCCCCTCTCCTTTATTCTCAAACACTTTTTTCTGAAGAGATGTGGGTAGTTTTTTTTCAGGTTTGAATTTCTGATCAAAAAAACATGTAAACACTGAAGAGAAAAAAAGTAGTCTGCCCACCACATGCTAGTCACCAAGAACAGAATATGTGTGGATATTTAGGTAAGGACACTCCACAGCTACCAAGGAGTATACAGTATTACATATCATAGTGTGAAGCAGCTCTGTAAGAGCTGTGAATTTTTGCTACCCAGGGGAAAAAAAAAAAAAAAAAGAAGCAACCTCTCAGAAAACCTGTCAGTGACCAAATTTCATCAGTAAAAGCTGGTGGTACCTCACGTTGTTGAGAATGTATGGTACACTGGGTATCCGTACCTTCCTTAAAGAACACTTCATATAGAAGTATGAACTTCTGAATTTCTTCTTAAGATACCAAAATACTAGCTTCAAATTTCTCTACAGCCTGCCCATAAGAAAAATATAAACCTCACCAACTGGCATGATGGCCACCCCTCAGCCTTGATAAACCTTACTGGAAGAATCTTACTGAAAAAATGCTTGTTTAAATTTCATTAATTGAAACAGCAACTGATATTTATAACACCTGGGATTTTTAACCATATTCACCCCAGGTAGAACCCTATGCAGATAGATGCCATAAGACACTACTTGACCAGGAACTTAGCCACCTCCAGAAGATGTAGAATACAATGCATGAGACCTTTCCCAAAAGAATCACTAAAAATAATTTTCTTCAACATGAAGCCTTGCAAACATGGACACATTTAAGACTTGCTTGCTGAGATCCTGTGTAGACAGAAGTACACTCCAAATGAAAAATGCACTTAGAATATATATTTTTTTAAAGCAGCATAGTGGAAAAACAACTTTGAGGCAGCTTACCAGTGCTAAAATTCTTTTTTCATGGACCCGCGCATCATTCTCTATTTTTACATTGATAGGGGCACAACTGCTGCTACCAATCTTGTTCCTTTATAATGAGAGAACTATAGGCCTTTGTTCACCAGAAACAGTGCCTGAAAACTTAAAATTGTTACATGACCTGCCAAGACATTAGACAACTTCAATAATACCTTTTCTGTCTGACTCCCACTTGGTATTTTGGTGGTATGGGAGGTAGATTCTTAGCTCTCTTAGCTTAGGGAACCCAGATAACCTGGGACAGTTGCCCTGATTCTGCTCCCAAAATGTCCCTCCACTCCAAAAGGCCTGACCCTGAGAACAGGACCTACTTCAATTGAATACAGTCTCCAAAATTGCTGTTGCTCTGTGAGCCACATGCTCTGAACACAGGGAGCAGAGAAGGCTGTAAGCAATGTTAATGCAATGCAGTGACTCCAGGGAACATCTCTATCCTCCCTCTGAGTCGGACGATGCCTTGAATGAGGAAAATCCTAAAGAAGTCGTTAGATAATCTGTGCTCCAGACAAGGACATCACAGGATTTGGCCCATGCAAAAGAGATTTAGTCCCACAGTTTCTCTTACCGGTAGAATTGGTACGACTAAATATTGCTGAGACTACTGAAAATGTACCCAGGAGAGTCCTCTAAAGCTCAGAACAGGTCAGTGAAATAAAATAATATATTGTTCTAAACCATTCTCACCCAGTTTTCATGCCTCAGTTCAAATTTGCCTTAGTTCACCATGGCTTTAGTGGTAACGTCTCATGTTTATGTAGTAAGGACACTGTGGAAGCAGTAGCTGGGGACAGGAATAGCAAGGGTTTCTTGGGTCAGCACGGCACCTTCAGGGCACAGCAGTGCAGAGGTAAGAGCAGTTTATGATTCAGCCTTTGTTTAGGCAGTGCTCTTAACCTGTGAAATCTAGATGAACAGGCAGGCTATCTCATCACCTCTATCTGTCTGGGTTTTTTAAAATTGCCATTGAAACCAAAAGTGAAGTTGATACCAAAACTGTACATGAGTAACAGTAAGGCACAAGGAAACAAATGAAAAACCCAAGTAGATTCTCAGTTTTCTTCATACTAATATCTTTTTACCTTGTGCCTCACAACAAGAAGCATATATATCTTATAGACTCTGATGTGGGCTTATTTTTCTTTTTGCATATTTTGCAGCTGGTTTAGGTTACAGGTTTTCTTCAGACATCATTAAATTCATGCATAGGGCCTGGTGTACAGAGTCATTCATCTTTTTGTTTGCTTTCAACTACATGGCTGACATAAACTGAAAAAATCTGTACTTCCACATCGTCAGATTCCAATGCACTTGGAAGTGTGTTTGAGAAATAAGGCTTAAAATGAATAATAAATTTAAACTGAAGAGGGACAGAGATCTTACTGCATTGCTGCAAAGAGACTTCCTTATATTAAATGAAATAATGGAGACAAAAATTAGCACATTTAAAGATATTTTAAAAATACTTTCATTTCATTTCTACATTACTGGTGAATCCACAACTCCCTGTGACTTCAGCAAAAATTTCAGCAGTGAAAGTAATTTTGGAGAGCCCCCTCCTCCACCCCTCGCCTCTGTTGTGCAGATACTTATGCATGTGCCAAATTTAAAGAATATAATCAGTCTAAGTGAGGTAGGATATTATGCATTTCCAAAACGAGATGTGGATAGACCTTGTATTGTCTGTACATTAAAATTACTCATGAAAACTTGTTTCATGAGAATGTGAAAGACAAAGATTTTTCTGTTGGCTCAGTCCTACTGGCCTTGACTCTCTCCTTGGATTAAAAATCTCAGTGAATGTTTCCATAATAAAGAAGAGGATATATGCTTTCATTTAAATAATCAGACACAGGAGGCTCTCAAGAGCTTTCGAAGAATTCTGGGTTTTGGCTGGTCCATCAAGGCATCTGTTATTTCTCCTTCTCTATTCATACTCACTCCTACAGTTCTAGCACCTGCATGACTTTATATTCAGAAGTGTAGGTCAAAATGAAAGTCTAAAATTCTGGCAGCCCTTACCTGGCCTTAAAATTCTCACACAAAATATGAGGTGAGTGGACATGCTTTAAAAATTCCATATACTTCAGTATTTTTTCCAATGCATCCTTCTTCCAGGTGTGACTTCACTAAGATTTTTTTTTTCCTTATTTTTATCTCAGAGTT